GTAGCACCAGACGATGTGCTACGCATTTACTTTGTCTGTAATATTTTTTGGTCCGTTATCTTGGCCCTTGTATTAAGTACATTTTGTACTATTTGTCAATGTTCTTCTTTTTACTGAGATGAGAGTGGATGATGGGCGGGTGCTCTGGTGTGGTTTCTTCCCTATCAAACATCTATCGTTCTTATCTCTTCTCCTTTTATTTGTGTTTGTTACTCTCTTGCAATACCTCTAATGTTACGCACTTATATAACCCAATTGTGTTGAAAGTGTCTTAGAACCCGTACTAGAAACAACAGCAACATGGGGAGGCCTCACCCGCTACCCCAGATAGGCGGTGGCCCTGGCGAAGAGCACGCTCTTCGGGGCTCCAAATAATTCACAAGGATAGCCTCCCACACACATACACACACACACACACACACACACATACACACACACACATACACAACAACAACAACAACAAAATGAGATGAGATGGCCTTTACTTTCAACTAAAACCGTGTCCTGCAACCACGTTTTCAACCCGCCGGGGCTGTGCTACTTATTGAAGTGTCTAGGGCCATTCCCAAAGAGGGGACATTAACATGTTCTTACGCACAGTAGAATTGTATATGGGCTGATTCATCTATGTCATGCTCATAACAATGCCTGAACTGCAACAGGGAACTGCTGCTTTTTCCTTCCTAATCCTTACTATCGTCCTTTTTTCCTCTACTTCGTTTGTATGTCATGTTTGTCACACTCTTGTGACCTGTTATTTCCAGGGTGCTTTGATAGTGGAAGCAGACTTTGGGCTGTTAAAGCTAGAGAGGTGAGCTTATTAAGCCTGATTCCCTGTAAGGACTTCTATGTTGACATCCATCCCTTGGTGCTAATATGACCTGATGCAGTTGCGAGCACCATAAAACCTCTTCTAAAACTAAACTAAACCATGTTTTTTCCCCACCAGGTGGAGGAGCCCGACGACTGGCTGCGGTTCGGCAACCCATGGGAGAAGGCCCGTCCGGAGTACTGCCTGCCTGTCAACTTCTTCGGCCGTGTGGAGAACGTCAATGGTCAAGATAAGTGGGTGGATACCCAGGTCAGTGCTGCCCGAAAATGATAAAACACCTTATTTTTTTATTTTTGCGAAAATTATTGTATTTTTAAAAAAATTTTTCGCTTAATCGATAGCCTGATCAGTTACCCTACTTTTCTAATTTACTGAAAAACTAGTCAGAGTTTTACTTTGATTTTTTTCACTCTGTGATACTGTGACTAGTTTTTTTTATCAAATTAGAATTCAAATTTCGGAAGAATGCCTTTTTTAAATGGTTATGCTTTCAAAACTCCTGATTATCTTGAAACTTCAGTCAATAAGAAAAAGGCGTTTTGTCGGTGAATGGCAGGGCTTGACACTTTATGGCGGCTGGTTGGAGAGTGCCACTGGTAGGTCTCGTATAAATTTTAACATCCCTCACTTGTTTATGGTTATTATGTCTTGCTCTTTCCCAGCTCCAAAAGATTCCGTTTTTTTGTGTCATCAGGATTTAGCAGCCCAAACTCTCAAACTCTAGCAGGTTTTTAAAAAACATTTTCTTAATGATTGTTTTCTTTTATTACTTCCTTCTTTCTTTTCTTTCATTTTTTCTTTTTTTTCTTTCCGTTTTTTTTCTTTCCTTCTTTCTTTCTTTCTTTCAATCTTTCTGTCTTTCTGTCTCTCTTCCTCTTTCTTCTTTTCTTTTTCACCCATCTCTCTCTCTCTCTCTCTCTCTCTCTCTCTCTCTCCCTCTCCCTCTCCCTCTCCTTCCCTCTCTCCCTCCCTCCCTCCCCCAGAATTATGTCGCAAAGGTTTTTTTAAAAATATATATCTTGACCTTCTTCTGTGCAGTATGGAGTTGGCCCAGACATTTTAAGCATTTTTAAGCGTTGTACATAATCATATATACACCCCCAGGTCCTTTTCGCCATGCCCTACGACACGCCTGTGCCCGGCTACGGCAACAACACAGTGAACACCCTGAGGCTGTGGTCTTGCAAGGCTCCCCACAGCTTCCACCTGCAGTTCTGTACGTATGCGTGCATCGCTTTAATAAGGTTTTCACAGCATTCTGTCCTCTGTTTGTCGCCTCAGAACTATTTTGTTCAATATATACATAAGTAAAGAATGCGCTTTGGACAAAAAAGTTCTAAGGCGACAAGTTTTGGATGGGTTTGCGAATCCTGTGGGAGATTTTTTCTTGGCCTTTAACAGTTTCCAACTCTAGTTTCGTGTCTTCTTCCCTTTTTTGTGTAACTTGGCCTTGCAGATGGTTTTGGGTGCTTCAGGTTGGTCCTACTTTTTATATTTGTATTATTCTCTCTTTTTCTGTCATTTTACTTTATATCAAGAACACTATGACAAAGATTGTGTACCCATCATATTCTTCTGATAGCCTACGTTGCTTCCTTTTTTAAGGTAATTTTTCATGTACGACAACATTATTTCACATATTCAAGATTTTGTTGTAAAGCGCCTAGAGCATGCTCTTGAGCATGGATATGCGCTATATAAATGCAATTATTATTATAATTATTATTACTTAGGTATCCCTTTTATACTCTTCCACTGCTGTTTTGGGGGTTTTTTTCCTGCTTGTCTTGCTGTTAACCTGGACTGAGTGGCCATTATTGTTTTGATATACTTCTTTTCTTGTTCCCATTGATACCTCCTTCAACTTTGCAGTGTAGAACACCGCTGACAAATGATTTTTTGTCCGATTATTTCTGTTTAGAATGATGAAGAAGAACAGTTACTGGGGAGACAAATTTCATCCTTTGTAACATTATTCCCACAGGTTTCTTTCAATATTTCTGTCTTTCTTTCTCTCTTCCTCTTTCCTCTTTTCTTTTTCAACCATCTCTCTCTCTCTCTCTCTCTCTCTCTCTCTCTCTCTCTCTCTCTCTCTCTCTCTTCCTCTCCCTCTCCCTCTCCCTCTCCTTCTCCTTCTCTCTGTCCCTCTCCCTCCCTCTCTCCCTACCTCCCTCTCTCCCTCCCTCCCCAAGAATTATGTCGCAAAGGTTTTTAAAAAATATTTATCTTGACCCTCTTCTGTGCAGTATTGTTCAATGTGCACATAAGTAAAGAGTGCCCTTTGGACAAAATAGTTCTGAGGCGATGAGTTGTGGATGGGTTTATGAGTGCAGATTGTTTAAAACTGTTATTTCTGACTATCTGCCATATTTTTTCCTTAGCAGAAAATAGGTGTTAAAATGTCAATGTCCTTCTCTTTACTCCTTCATACAAATCATAAGAATAAGTTAATTTGCCTGACTTGGGAATCAGACTCAAGTCTTGTGTACAATGGTCATAACAGTGTAGACACTGGTATTTGTTTGAACTGATCCACACAAGATGTTGCTTTATCAGTGTAACCTGCAGTGATCTTTGACATAAATTGCTTGAGCTGGCCCTGTCGCGAAAGTGTTTCATTGCTTTATCATCGTTGTGTCATTTTTGCTTCCACAGTCAATAATGGAGAGTATATCAACGCTGTGTGTGATAGAAACTATGCTGAGAACATTTCAAGAGTGCTCTACCCCAACGACAATGTGAGTGGACAATTTTTTTTTTAATGATTTTTTCGAGGTTTTTTTTTTTTTCTAGTGATACACAAGCAAGCTATCTTTCTGTAGAATTATAATTTCTTTTCAGGATGACCATCGTTTTCATTTCTTGTATTATTGTGCTCTTTCTTTATCATGTGCATGATGTCCTTTTTTAGTTTTGATCTGTCTTTTATTATGCTTTTATTTCTTACCTTGACAGATGTTTGAAGGCAAAGAACTGCGACTGAAACAGGAATACTTTCTGGTGGCTGCTTCCCTCCAAGATCTCATCAGGAGATTCAAGTCATCCTCTTTTGGTCAGGCTAACCCTGTGCGGACTTCTTTCGACACGTTCCCAGACAAGGTATGTGTTATACTGTATAATATCATTGTATCATCGCTTGTCTGAGGGTGTGGTTGGAGAATGTCGCTGTACCTTTCTTTCCTTTCTCATAAATATTTTGTTAGTCTCTTTATTTTTTTCTGTCACTGTATGACTGTGACTGTATTAGTGTGCTCGTAATTATCTCAGAAACAAAATGTCTGGTAATGCTTCTACACAACTTTCTCATGATAGTCTTTCATTGGTGAAAGTTAAAAGTCGGAGAAGAGAGGCATAATATCAGCTGTCCACCTCTCTTTGGAAACATTTCTAGGAGCACCTCTGATAACAGAAAGTGTAGCCATTCTTAAACATCTTGACTCTAATATTCCAAACTCAATGTAACAGCCTTAGCTCTTTACCATCATATTTTGGGGAAAATCCAAAGAAATTGGGTGGTAAACATCGCCAATCAGCGACGTGAGGCGGGAAAGTGTTAAAAGATGCAGAAAAGAGTAAAAGCCCCCTGTAATATTTTAAGTGATAATTGGGAGGATTTAAAATTGTTGATGGATCCTGAGTTATTGCTTTCCTTCTATTTTTCTTGTTGTCTTTCTTTTTTTTTTGGGGGGGGGGGGTCCTTTATCACCATTATTTTTTCTTATGTGCTTTTTGTTTTACCAGAATGTACTTTCAAGAATTTTTTATCTCTTGTCTTCAGGTGGCTATCCAGTTGAATGACACTCACCCGTCTTTGGCCATCCCTGAACTGATGCGTATCTTTGTGGACATCGAGAACATGTCATGGGAAAAGGTGAGGTGTGGGTGCGTGGTGGGGAGTAGCAATGATGGAGGGAGGATGGGATGACATTGTTGTCTGTATCATGTGAGACAGGACAGTAGTGTGAGGTGGTATTAATCAAAGGGACTGGTGCAGTTAGGGAAAAATTAGGTGTTTAGAGTTAAATGATGTATATTGGTACTGTGTTTGTGTACTGCGAATACAGTGATTAATCTCCACTTTGACTGAGATTGAAACTACTTCTTTTTAGGCCTTCTTACTCCACAGCATGCCATGCAGCAAGTAACTGTTTTATTGCCCAAGTTTGTTCTTCGAAATGAGTTGTGAGAGTTTTGTGAAGTGACTTATGAATGGGATGAAATTGGTTAAAAGAATAAGCTTTACAGGATCTTTGACTGCAGTTTGTTATTGTTTCAAACTGACATTTTTCAGTAGCAGAGGCTGGGAGAGATGACTAGCGGCTTTGCAAAGGCAGAAAATTAGGCTACAACCATCGACATAATGTGTTATTTGACCCATCGTAACAAGTTTGAAGCAGTTGAAAATTTTGAGAGAAAAGTGGCTTTGAGAAATCAAATTTTAGTGCCCCTTTTTAATGTGCCTAAAGTCTTATGATTTTGAAAGATGTGAGCCTCTTTTTGAAGAACCGCAGTTGTCTTTCTGTTTAAAGTAAAAAATTCAGTAGAGTTGAGAGTGAATACTAAAGAAATTCAGATAAGAGAGTTGAGTTCAGATGAAGCCTCCCAAGTTCATATCACATTATGAAGAATACAAAATCTCACCCTAGCCCTGTCAAATACGGTCAAATCCTGTGTTCTTTCTCTTCCCCCTTTAAGCCCCATCCTCCGTTACACTGGTGGTGCATAAACTGCCCGTATGCCTTGCAAGACCCCATCCTCTACCCGGCCCGTCTGGGACAAAATGCAACAGAAATGAGTGTCTACTACTGAGGACACTATTAATTTTTTTTTTTAATCTTTGTAAATTAGTTGTGGTAATGACAAGGAGTGAAATATGGAATGTGGTTCTGACGATGTTATGAATCAGAGTAACATATCGCTCAGGCGCTCAGACACAGGGGCACAGTAGCCTCAGGAGTTCAGGGCTCAAATGGTTAAGTAATATAGTTAAGGCTGTGTACTTGAGATGTTCCACTTACTTCAACCCAATCCGTCTGTGTGTGTTCCAGGCGTGGGACATCACCACCCGCACCTGCGCCTACACCAACCACACAGTTCTGCCGGAGGCCCTGGAGCGTTGGCCAGCCAGTCTACTTGCCCTTGTGCTGCCTCGCCATCTGGCCATCCTCTACGAGATCAACGCTCGCTTCCTTGCGGTCAGTTTCCTGCTGCTGTTGTTGTTGTTTGTCTTCCTCATTGTTGTTGTTATTGTTATTGTTGTTGTCATTAGTGTAGGGTCAAGAGTGCATGTAAATACTTGCCATCTTCGTAAAATGTAGACGGTAATATGTCAGGTCAGTTGTTTGTTTTGTTGTTGTTGGTTGTTTTGTTTTTTTGCAGAGTTCAGCCTGCAAGTTTGAAGAGTTAAGTTTTTCTCAAAATCATTTTGTTCTCATGGTGTTATTGTTATTCCGAGTGACAATTTTTGGTTAAATCTGGAAATCCAGATTTCTGAATTTGTCAACTTTTTGCATCTTCTGGCTGAATCTATAAAAAAGTTGCGATACAACATTCTGATTTGGAAATTTTGAATCCTGCAGGTGCATTTCCATGGAGGGGGGGGGGGGTCTGAAAAGTTCAAGATTTTTATCTCAAACTATTTAGCACCTCTGGTTATTAGTCTGTGAATGAAAGAAGTCATGTCTGTTGTGTGTGATGTTACAGGAGGTTTCTAAGCGCTGGCCCGGTGATAACGAGCGCCTGGCTCGCATGTCCTTGGTTGAAGAAGGCGGAGAGAAGAAGCTCAATATGGCCAATGTATCTATTGTGGGCAGCAAGGCGATCAATGGTGTGGCAGCCATTCACTCAGAGATCATCAAGAAATCCACGTAAGTTCTTTACACTGTAGACTCATTGCTCTATGGCTAATACCTTAAGGATTTCAGAGGATTGATGGTTGTTGCTAAAAGTATACATTTTTGTTTCTGTTTTTTACCTGCCCATTTTTATAAACTGGCACTTCTGTGTTTAGTAGTTCCAACAAAATGTTCAGCGTTTTAGATTTTAAAGTTAAATGGTACTGAAAACAAACAGTAGAAAGGCTGTTTGCCCTCAAAATGTTCAAACTTTGAAGAACCTGTTCTACACCTTTGGCTAGTTTTTCAAGAGCGTATAAGATTGCTGGTAGTTTTTAAAAGAATGGAATTCTGTAGATTGGTTTTTCAGTTTCTCGTATAACTGTTCATGACCTTCTTTTGGATGTGATAGGCACATAATTTTTTGGTTTGCACTACAGCAACATAGCTGGTAACCAGTATATATATATTTTTGAGGGTCTGAGGACTGAAGTTCGTTCTTGAATCAGGACACATCAAGATACATATTCTCTGTTTTCTAATTTTGCTCCTCATGGACCTGCCAGTGCTAAATGAAAATTACGATCTTTCAAGGCTGGATTTGCAAATAATAATAGGAATGAAACCAGTAAGTCAACTGGATAAATCTGTTTCTGCAAGTCTGCTTTGATTTGCATGAATTTATTGAACATAAAAAATGTGTGTGAAAGGTTTGGTGGGGGGTTATTTTGCCAATGCCCACCATCTTGACCTGCCGCGTGGGTAGAGTGATTTTTGGGGGGCTTTGAAAAGTTGGTAGCTATGGAGTCAGTTCTTCAGATCCTTCTATATCTACACTGATTCTCCTTTAATTTTGTTCCAACAACTTATTCCATTCTATGAACTTCAGTCAGTTTTTTTTTCTGTTAGTCATGTTTTGTATCGTCAAACGCCAAGATATTGTGGTGATAGGACTCCATGGTGCAGACAAAGATTTTCATTTTTGTGTTGGTTTTAGGGCTTTCTTAGGTAGAATTTAAATGAATTTATATATCAAGAAAATTGTATAGTGAGTCCTCTTAAGATTTAAGAATATAACTATCAGTTATCATGTTCTCGGTTGTTGCTTGAAATGAGCAAAAGTGTCCCTTTCTAAGTTCAGAATAGCGCATAACAGTGCGTAGGTGGATTTTGATTTTTTTTGTTCTATATTTCACGTCACCAGTTTCAAGGACTTCTACGAGATGTTCCCGAAGAAGTTCCAGAACAAAACCAACGGCATCACCCCCAGGAGATGGCTGCTGCTGTGTAACCCTGGACTGGCCGACATCGTTGCAGAGGTGAGGACTTTAGTGCAAATCTGGTAGTCAACACAAAGGGTGCACAGGGCCTCTAGACTCTGTGAACCTAGTCTCAAATAATTAAACCAACACGAGAAAGGGAATCTTCCACCATAAAGTTATATATATATATATGTCAACTAGGAGGCAAAGCGGTTTAGATGAAAAGTTTTTTTGTGGGTTTTTTTTGTCTTGTTTTTTTACAAAGGGGGGGGGGGGGGGGGGGG